AAGGCAAGCACATGTCCACATCTTCAGTAGGATCATCAGGTTCTTCTTGGACTGCTTTACCTTTACCTTTCTCACAATCAACATTCTTGTCAAACAAGTCATCATCATCTTGCAGATCAATATCTGAATCAACAATATGTGGAATGAAATCTTCATCTGAATCCTACATTACTGAATCACCAACTGTATCTGCTGCATCCATGTTTAAAACCCTACAGTTTTTTCTTCTCCCCCTGAACTCAAACTGAAATGTATGCATGTACTCTCCTGGTTGAGGTGGTCCTGGCATGTAATCCTCTTCTTCTGACTCTTCCTCACTTTCTGATAGTGCATCTTCAACTTGACCTTGCTCAGCCTCATGATCTTGCTCTTGCTCAGACTGCTCCTGTGCCACTAGAACTTGCTCAACATGGTCCTCTTGCTGGTCATCTTGATCTAGCTCAACCTGCACTTGTTGCACTTGCTCTTTCTTTGGCCCAATTCCACTGAATTTGGCAAATAGAGGATCCTCATCATCAAAATGAACAGGAACATGTGAAATATATGATCTCATGCTCTCATCAGGATCAAGAAATATTTGCTGAAAATGGTTACCATCCAGAGCACAATCCTTCATGTTCATAGTCATAGTGTTGTCGCCTATCTTAATCTCTCTTAATCAATTCTTGTACACTGTCAACCTAGGAACACAATAGTAAGCCTTGATCCTGCCCTCAAACTCATACCCAATTTCCTCCACTAGGCTAGCAAGAATAGTAGGTGTCCAGTTATCTATGTCACGGTAGTCATACCAAATGGAGTGGCCTTTGTGGTAATCCCTATACTTGCCTACACAAAGGAAATAGCCACCATGTATGACCTCAACAAAGAAGTGGTTCCTTAGGGGTCCTACAAAACAATCAAAGTGACAATGTTCAGACAAGGTAAATAGAGATATTTATGAAAATTCAGAAAAACTGAAATGTCCAGTTAACTCCAATAGTTCAAATATTGCATCAAACCACCACTAGCTCAGTTAACTAAGTAAGCAGGACCTAATCCTAGGTACTAAGCAAGCAGTAAAGAATTTAATTGGACCAAAACAAGAAAAGTGCCAATGCTCAGTGTCAATGTACATACAAGTTCAAACATTACGAAATTCAGACATGTTCAGACATTACAAAATTCAGACATGTTACAGAGCAAAATTCAGACATCTTACAGAACAAAAGCACCGATCCATGGCCTCCACTGAACAAATATATGATCTTTCATGAGCAAAACGATCATTTCATGGTTAAAACGCCTTATGATCAACAAACATGCCATATCAAGCAAACATTTTCGACCAATTTAACACGGCATGGCCTTCCCCTAACATGTCCAGCACAAAATCAAACCCTAGTTTTGCTCTGCAAACCCTAGATCATCTCCAAACACAACATCCATAGCCCAGACGGAACCCTAACTTTGATCTGACAATATGTTCAACACCCACTGCTAAAACCCTACAGGCATACACCATCCGTGGCAAAGGGTAGAGAAATAGCCCAAACCCTAGCAACTGTGCACAATTGACTCGAACGGAAACTCTTCCCCAGAGCTAAAACGGACAGATCGACTACAGAACGTGCCGACGACGGTGGCGTACCATAGAGGGGCGGCGAGGCATGGTCCTGCCGCCGCGTCGGTGCAAGAGGGATGTCAGGCATGCCCCTTCCAAATGGCGGGGACGGCGGCGGCTCAGCGTCCGACGACGAGCTCATGGGGCCCTCGCCGCACTCGCCCACGCCGGCGACCTCGAGGCAACCACCCCGGCAGCAACGAAGAGCAGGGGAGAAGAAGAGCGAGCGAGTGTGGGGTGGCTCGGTCCGACCAGGTGGGGAACAGAGTGCGGCTCGGTTCGACCAGGTGGGGGGGTAGGTCTTTTAAGTTCTGGCGACTTTGCAAAAGAAAAATCTGTGTGCATGCGTATTCGACCGAGCTGGCAGATGTGGCAGTCAAAGCACACTTGGCAGCGGTTGACTCGGGCCAGATCAGCATGTACATAGACCAAATCGTATAACGGCCGTAGACGACCCCCTCAAGCAAGTTTAGTGACTGTATTTCGGGTATTTCTAACCACAGGGATTAAAGTGGACACCAGTGCAAGTTACAGGCCCTAGAGTGAATTTTTCTCTTTGAAAAACAGTAGTGCATCTAGATTCAGGGTCAAATTCTAATCTGTTGAGGTACAGAGAATAGACATCACATGTACACACATAAGCATTAGCAGCTGATTAGAGGCGTTCCAAATTTCCATTCTCAAGTAATTTCTCTACACTAACAAAATCGAGAGACAAAATTAGCACAAGACCCACGCACATCACAACCCACCTGAGCAAAGCACACACAGCATAACCCGCCGAAGCAGAGCACATGAAAGCAGCATCAAGTGCCCAGCCAGCACCAACCAGCAGCGTGGGCTTGCGTCCCCTCCCCGTCTTTCCGAGAGCAGAGCACAAGCCAGCAGCACCAGCCGGAGGGAGCTTCCTCCATTCGCAGGGCACTGACGGCCGCGCACGGCACTCACGTATGTCTGCTGCCGATGCCATGACCTCTGTTGTCAAGCTTGTGCCGGAGAGAGAAGAAAGGGAGGAGAGAGGGAACCACAAGGAAGGAGAAAGCCAGGCCGCCGCGCACTCTCCTTCGCTACCGGCCTGTCGCACTTTGATCTGCAGCGGCCGCCGACACTGGATAGAAGCGGGAGCAGATGGAAAGGGGAGAAAGAGACAAGATCATCTCTAGCAGATCCCATATGACCTCGCCAGGGCGCGTTTTTCCGGCAGGTTTACGGAACAACCTAAAATTTCAGCCCGAGCAGGTCAGGCAAGAAGGATCCAGCCCTTGAAATATTTACGGGAGGCCCGTAAACCGCCCGTGATTCCAGTATATATGCCGGATCCGGGTCGATTTAGGGTTCGCATCCGGCTTTTCCTTCATTTCCCTCCGCCACGTTTTTTCTCCTCCGGCGAGAAATCCCGTGAAGTTCAGCCTAAATCTCCGGTGAGTTTACCCACTCGAACTTGCTGGAGATATCGTCGTTGGGTGTCGGTCGGGATGGCCGAGGGGGGCTCAGTGCACGCAGCGGGAACAGCGGCCGAAGCGGGCTCGGCGGCAACCCACCCCGCAAGCGCTGCCACGACGCGGAGGCCGGGAGCTCCTCTCTCCGCCCGCTGGTGGATGAACAGCGGAAGGAGCAGGCGCGCACCCGCGGCGTCCGCTCTTGCAATGCTGGCGCTCGCGCGTGGACGAACTTCTGCCGCCTCGGCCGCATCTTCTCCCCGGCGCTAAAGCGTCGCCGGGAGGCAGAGAAGGCGTGGTCGCAGGCCAAGGAAGCCGCCGCCACCGGAGATGAAGCTGCGACCGCGCGCGTCCCGACGCACTTCGAGGAGTATCAGCTCATGCAGGTCCTCTCCAGCACCCTCATGTACCACACCCTCCATGGCAACCCGCCCGCCGTCGCCGACGAGGAGGGCGACGATGACGACAAGTAGATCTAGTATGCTTTCCGTTTAGTAGAACTGTTTAATTTTGGTTTGTATGAACTCCGGTATGGTATGTAGTATGATGAACTCCCATATCCTATGTTTGAACTCCGGTGATCTATGTTTAAGCGCGAACTACAAATTTGAGTATGTGGTATCGGTATGAAGGATCTATTTCGGCTAAGCGTCTGATGTCCTGCAAAAATCGTTTCAGGGATACCGTAAATGAGTTTTGCGGGACGGTCGGTTGCAGGATCTACTAGAGATGCTCTAAGGTGGGGTTTGTGGCAGAAAAACATTTCGCGGCGTGCGTGCGAGGGAAGCCCAAATCCGTGACTTTCTCGTGGACGCTCGGAGCCCGATTTTGAAGGAATATTCGAAGTTTGAATTATCTAACTGGGATCATCTCTATTCGCCCACGAACCAAACAGGTGGTATCCATCTAAAAACAGGCTATCCTTGTCCCATCGTGGGATAGCCCAGGAATCAAACACATCCAGTGTCTAGCCAGGTTTTTCTTTTTGTTAGGTCTGGGACGTCACGTTTGGTTTGGCCAGTCCCATGACCCGAATTTTATCCCATACTCAGTGGTGTTTGATGAATTAAACTTGGTTTTACCCCTGATTTTCTTTTGAATTTAGACAATAGACTTGCTAGCTATGGCCCGGTCTTAAAGGAAATAGTCAGAAATGACTCGTTTTAGGTGGTCATCTTCGACAACGAAATAAGAGAGTTGAATCGGGATGTGCATAATTTGGCAAAATTTTCATGTATGGTTCTAGGGCCCAACCCTGTAGTATCCCTACAATTTTCATTTTTTGAACAAAGACACCCAAAAGGAATCTTAGATCTCCTTTTCTTTTCTTCTGCTCATTCTTCTTCATCAAATACTTGTCATAACTTAACTTCAGATAGCTGACCACTCATGCCATGTGGTAGGGTATCTTAGATATGATTAATATCGAGGAAAACAAATGTAAATATAATGGGTGGACAACTACTGGACATAAAATGACTAGTACAAAATAAAATTACAATAAAAATCATATTAATCTTCTTCTTTTTTTGATTATACGCCGTCCGCCAGAGATTGGAAATTACACTGAACCAACAATAAGAAAAGACGACACTCGTAAACGCCGTCGTCATACCAGGTTTTGAAGACCGCAATAGCCACTCGCCCTGCCCCTTGAGACGAGATCCAAATATTGTTGAACCAACATTGACTAGAGCATCACCCCACGCAGCACACAGAGGGTTGGATCAATATAAAACACTCCCGTTCCTAGAAAAAGGCTCGGTGCAGCGCATAAATCGCATACGTCGTTTTATGGTGCGACATCCTGCCACGACGACTAATCCAACGGCCTGCTGGCCAAAGCCCCAACTCCGCACCGCACGGCACCGCAGTCCGCCAGTCCGCAGGGTTCTTCATCGCCGCCTCCGGAAGCTTCCACCCCGCGAGCGGGCAAGCTTGATCGCCGGGGCTGAGCCATGACTCAGCCGCTCGTCTACTGCCCCGACGATGCCCGTACGTCGACTCTAGCCCCTCATTGCTCGCTCCCGCGTTCGTTACCCTCTGCCTGACCCCCCGGCTTCGTTTCTAATGGCGATCGTGCGCGCGCGCGTGCAGTTAAGAAGGATCTAATGAACGCGGCCATCGACGGCAACCTTGGTCTCCTCAAAGGTAGCCCTTTCCTCTTTTCCACTGCGTCGATTCTTCTGCTTTTTCGTCACTTCGGTCGAGGCTGCTTAGTTAGTTTCGTGGGTTCGGAGGTTGTTGTTAAGACATGCTGCATCGCCTTCGGAAAGTACTTGGTGATAATGCGTTACAAACATAGGCTTTGAGTTAGCACTTAGCAGCGGTGGAAAACTAGATTTGCTTGAATATAGCACTGAATCTGCCACGTGTATGATTTTGTTTTGGTCCATGTTGATGCGACGCTCAGTTATCTTGCATAGTTACAGCGGGCACCGACTTCCGGTACATTTATCTTCATATAAGCTGTCATACAAACATACTCCCTCCGTTCGGAATTACTCGTCCAAAAAATGAATGTATCTAGATGTATTTTAATTGTAGATACATCCATTTTTATGACAAGTAATTCCGAACGGAGAGAATAGTTCTGGTCGAATGTTTTACTTGTAACAGTTTGCTATCCGGTAACGAATGTAATGTTTTCCGTACTCATCAACACTAGTATTTTTCTGATGGTAACCATGAGTCCATGACATGCAGTTTTAGGACCGACCGTCGCACTCACATGACTAAATCGTTTGCAGTGCACTACTCAGCAGACACATGCATAGATCAGCTGAAAAATCATGGTATAAACGTGACAACTTTCGATGAAACGATCTAACTGTCCACCACATCACAATTTATAGTGTAGAAGTACTCTAAAACGTTGTGTTTTGTCATGTATTTTCAGTTTTTCATTGGATGGCTGTCCAGCAATGCTTCAGATTGGTCCCTTGAACTTCATGAAGTAGTTGTCCATTTCGCATGCTTGCTTCTTTTCTTTTGGTCTTCTATCTTGTTAATTGGTCTATTTGTTTCTATAATGTCATTATGTTTACTTTTGGGGAAGGTATTATAAAGAATCTTACCAAAGGAAAGGGTGACCCATCGGCAATTTTTTCTTTCAACATCAATGGGTATTCTGTGTTGCACACGGCGGCATGTTTTGCACAACTGGATGTTTGCAAGTATTTGGTGGAGGAGCTTAATGGAGATGTAAATGCTCCTGGATATGGAGCTGGTGCTCTAGGGGGTCTTTATCTATCCCTTTCTTCATTTTTAAAACTGGTGTCTGCCATGTCAATGATTGCTAGCATGGCATCTATGATTGCGCTGACAATTGTGTGTTATCACAGGTGCAACTCCATTTATGTTGTCAGCCTCGTCTGATGATGTTGCTACAGTCAAGTATTTTCTTGATCATGGTGGTGATATATTGAAAGCAGATGACAAAGGACGCACAGTTCTCCACCATGCTGTGGCTGCAGGTTCTTCTCCCTGACACACACACAAGATTTCTCGAAGATGGTTATTTTTACTAAGATGTACTAGTAGTTATTTACTCTACTACTCTAGTACACTATGTTTAATTATTGTGGCAGAACATGAGTTATGGAATCATTTTGTTTACAACAGGATGCTGCAACGTGACAGAGTTCCTCCTTTCAAAAGGAGTTCCAATCGACATAAACTATGGCCGTGGAACACCAGCATTTGTGGCTGCTGCAAATGGGAAGGATAACACACTGAAGATTTTGTTGGATCACAACGCAAATGTATATTGCCTTCACTTTTTTTATTTCTCTTGATTCAGAGTTAATTTGCACATATACTTTTTA